AAATGGACGTGAGGTTCTAGGCAATAGGCCCTACATTGAGAATTTGTTAATACTGTATTCTGACTGATTTTTTGTAGCTTCAAGCTTCAACACAGTTAAGATATGGCTAGAGTTTCCCCAAAGTAACAATCTGTACTTCAACAAACTTTGAAAAAAGACAAACAACCTGATCTTACATACGATTGGGGGCACAAACTCTCTGAGTCGTCTAATCTATACTTATTTAATACGCAAGCAGGTTTTTTGTGACAATTACTCCTCCGAAACTACTGAACCGATTGACATGTTTTTGGTGTCATTGGAAAGAGCGTAACGTGAAGTTGTGCAGGAAACTTTCTTTTTTGGGAAATAATTAGAGAGTGGGGCCCTGGGGTCCTTTAAAGTTTCGTATTTATCCATAAGATTAACATGGGAAACAAAATTTGTTATGGAACTCCAGCTGTTGTCAGAAAAGTGAAATATTTATTGATGGTATCCATGGTAACAAAGAACAAACCCACAAAATTAAAAAAATGTAAACAAGCAGAACTAATTTTTTGTCAAATTTATTTTGATTTCACAATTCCACACAGCTGGTCCAAACATATTAAATACTGCATGATTATTAGAACAGGAACGGTATGGATCATAAACATAAATAAAATGTGTCACTCGCCTGAATGTAAACATTTAAAATTGATTAAATGGAACTGTCAAACTATATGTTAATGTCATTAGCATGGGATTCTTTCAGTTGCGTCATTTGTTGACCGAGTCTGTTCCAATATTTTTGAGCTGCTGTAATAATATTTTACAGGAAATAATTATTAGATAAATTCATGGATATAAGTAATAATTCAGATTCTTCAATCATTGCTGTTATTAAAACTGTGTATCCACAGCAAAGCTTTAGACTAAGCGAATTCCCATTTACCTGGCTTAATTCTAGAATGATATTCCCATGAAAATGGTCATTTTTTGTCCTATTTAAATAACATTAAGTTAATTTTAATATGAGTACTTAGGTTTGCTGCTACAGGGAAGGTAGGTGTGTTTTTGTTGAAATGTTGATAGCTTAGTATGATTGTTATTGGTTTGAAAATCCTGTAATACTTTACAATTGCTTGAATTCGAGCAAAATGTACACTAGTTAGAAATAATACTCTACACAGTTTTCGCCTCAAGTTACAAATATGGGTTGCCCAGCTTAGATAACAATCCAAATCTATAGCAAACGATTTAACACTTAATCTAAAAACGGTACTGAGTATTATCAGTGTTCCCACTGACACTAAACCAGTGCTTGGCTTCACACAGCAACTGTTTAGTGCAAAGAATTCATTTAAGGTATCATGACTATTCAAAAAATGCTAAATCAACCACCTAAATCAAAGAGGTAAAAGTCAGGCTCTTATCCAAGTCATTAATCATAATGAGAAAGAGATCAGGATCCAAAACCATACCCTGCGGCATTCCGCACAACACCTTACTCGCTGATGATAACACTCCCGCAACATCAACCTGCTGCTTGCGGTGAGATAAGTAAGATTTGAAAACATCAAGTTCTGTGTGCGCGCGGATGCCATAGTAGTCAGGTTATTTTAAGAGCAAACCATGAGGAACGCAATCAAATGCTATACCAGGGTTGCCTGAGTAAGAGAAGCTCCTTCAAAATAATTAAGGATGTGTTGCATTAAATATCAGGAAAATGAATTGTGAATATCTTACACATTACAAATGAGGACAGCTGTGAATTTTTCTGGAGTTAAATGTCAAAAGTTTATAATTAAAATGTTGATTTTTAATTTTTAGAGCTCAAATAGGTAATACAGTTAGTTTGGTAAGAAAAAAACTGCAATTAATTTGCACGGGATTAGCATTCATACAGTCAATAAAAACAGTGTGCAAGGTTTTTTACTCATTCCCAACATTTGATAAATTAACAACAAACCAATTTAATTGAAGTAAATTATAACATACACTAGGCCGAGGCAATGAACAAGGTTGCAAGTTTGATGCAACAATTACATAGACTCTGTGTGTCAGTCTAATCCTAAACCTGGTTGTGGTGTATAAAGAATTATAGATTTACTATAAATTAATTCATTGATTCAATGTCTGTGTTTCATGACAAGCATGTTGACTTGCCATATAATTATTTGTCTAGTTGATCAAAGGATACAATCGTTCAAATGTAAAAGACTAATATTCAATGGAAAAATAGCCATACTTTACAAACTTATTGAACTGACTTGACTAGCTTCTTTCCACGGAAATGTTAAGTTAAATAAATAGTTTTAAAACAGAAATGACACAGTGACAAAAATAGAGGTGTGCGGATAGTGAAATTTTATTTCGGATCTGATTCGGATCGGATAGTTGAGGCTCGGTTCGAATCGGATATCGGGAGGTTCGGATTCGGATATTTTCGGATTTGGATAGTTCGGCGCGGTTAATAATAAGCTGCATATGCATTTTTAACCTATAAAGCATACACTGTAAAGCTGTGTAAATAAACTTAAATGACGATTTTGAATTACAGAGTTTCAAATTAGCCACGTCCACAGTTTTCTCTCTCTTGAAAACCACAATTCACAACATTATTTTCAAAAGTTGGTTGCTTGAATTAAGTACACTAGCAGCCAAAATCTTCACACAACACTTTAGCTCAGCAGGACTGATGTCAAAACGTTTAGGCTTGTTTACTTGAGGTTATGTTTTAATGTTGTTTCCTGGTTCTCACAAGACAATGATTTCTATCTCAAGTTTATTTTCACATTGTATTTTCTTACGTTTTTGGAACTGATTATTGGCCTTAAGTGGCATTCTTGGGGTTTGCCAAGTATAGAAAACATCACTAATGCACTAAGCTGGGCTCTAGATTTGATGTTGTGGCAAGTTAATTAGGGCAATTAGGCTTTAAAACTCTGTAAAATGTGTGTATCCCTGAATTTATAAATTTCATTCAACACTTATTCACTGCCAAACATAATTCAGTAGAACCTTGATGAACCGAGAATTACACTAGCCTACAGCTTCATTACCCCAAGTAAAATACCAAGATAATTTTTAAAATTGTATTTGAATAGTATAATCTTAGTTTGTTAAAAATGGATTGTATATTCAACAATTATTGCAGTCCATTATTGTTATGCAGTATAGTCCGAAATTATTGTTTTTGATTTTTAACATCACAGTTCATTTGAAAAAATTAAAGTTGAAGCAGCCCAATGTCAAGTCATGATTGTGCAATAGTTTTTTACAAGCTTTCTCCAGACCACTGGGGAGGGTCGAGTCTGATAAGCCGTCTATTGTCTACCCCCAAGATGGTTCAACCCTCATTAGTGCCGCTCGGCTGCACTCAGTGGGGGACCCAATACCACAAATCAATCTTTTAAATGAATAAAAATATTTGGTAATAATTGTTTTATAGATTTTCACCTAGAAATTTCAATAAATTTTGTGTTAAATTTGACAAAAATCGGCCAATTTATTATTACAGTACCGATAAAGTACTGGTAATTAAATAATAGGTATAAATTAACCGATTTTCGTCAAGTTTTACCCCCTGCTGTGCGCTATGTCACAACAGCTGATAACGACATGGGTGATTAGTAACCATGGCAACTAGGCAACTTGTTGAATGCTGATGAAGGGAAACCCAAGAAATAAAAGAACAATGAGAAAGTATAATGACGTTATCTTTATACCCTTTTTACAATTGCTGTTATTGTTAATGTTATTATCTTTATGTAAGATTTTATGATTTTGTTTTATAGGTTTATAAAATAATTCTTTTTAACCACGGGAATATCAATTTATAGTTTATCGACGTGCTTCTCTTCTGAAACAGCAATACCAGATGCATAATAAAGGTCAATGACCTTAAATATCATGATTGTACAATATTGTATTTTGATGTTGAAATTCAAATCATGACAAAAGTTTGTATATTTCCCCTGGTCCCTACCATTTAATCATTCAATATACACAATCAATGCTAAATAATCGTGGTTAGTTGTAATTTTATTTTTGATTATTCATAGTTTCTACACAATAAGACAATACAAAGTCAAACCGGGCAATGAATAGGTACCCGAAAAACAACGTATCTTGTCCTTTGATTGGAATACCACTCGCCAGTCCTTTAGATTTAGGGAAGTAGTGCTGGTCTATATATAGCTTCAAGGTCGTAACCCACCCCTTCCCCCCTCACGGCCCACTCGACTTACTGTTGCTAGTTGCTACCCGTTACCCAGGCTCCTTTCGAGGTCAATGCCCAACCCCTCCCACCCTTCTATTGTGTTGCCTTCTATTGTTTCTATTCTGACTTTTTTCGGGAAACATTAAATGTATTGTTTACGTAACAGAACAGAAGTAGGCTAGATTTTTATACTTTAAAACAGTACTGTAAAAAAACTATTACACATAGCGCCCCTAGTATCAGGAGACATGCACGAGTTGTGAGTTCACCATAGTAGTTCTTTTCTGTTTTATGTCTGTTCGTTCCAGACGAATCTAATCGTAAAGCAAAGCAGCCGATAACGACGTTGATAACGACTATAAACTAGAAATCGGTATTGCATCATACGGCTTCTTTGTCCTTTGCTGTTACGTCGTCGTTGGAAACGTATTGCTGTAATTTTGTTCTGGGAAACTAATGATGGTTATGAAGATTTAGTTCTTCTGTCCAAAACATCAAAATATGTTGTCTATCCGAAAAAGTTGGATGTATAACGGATAGTGTCGGATATCAAACTTGGGCTCGGTTCGGATACGGATATCCGAACCGAACCGAATCCGACCCGATTTTTCAGATATCCGCACACCTCTAGACAAAAACCTATCTATTATCCACAAAACAACCTAACTACAAAATTGACTTTGACCTAGTTTACACCAAAGAACCTTTTAAGTGAGTTTGACTAGAGACAAATGGTTAACAATATTTTTTTTAATGGTTAGTGTTTACAGTAACTATAGGTTAATAAAGTACAAATACATTCACACAAAACACTGACCTCTGTATTGTTGACATGAACGTCTTCACCATCGACTCCACCAGCATTGTCCTGTCTGTCAGGATCAATCTCCTGAAACATTACATATTACCATGTAAGTTGTAAGTAATCCTTAGTAAAGATTCCAGAATGAAAATAACCCTACAACCATCTAGTGTTGTCAATCACTGAATTTTCATACTGTGTTGGTGTAAAACTTACTCAAATATGGAGTTAAAAACTAATAAAAAATTTTAAAATCTTTTTTGAGATTTTTGCTTACATCTATTGCGGTACTAGTACATTATAAAGCTGACTATTTAACTGGGTAAGATAACCAGTTAGTTATAGATCGATAAATCTATACTATTATAAAAAAGAGGTGGTGTCTGTGTGTGTGTATGGGAAAAGTAAACGCGAAAACTACTGGTCGGATCGGGCTGAAATTTGGCATGATGATAGCTCCCGATTAACATATAGGCATATTTTTATCCCAAAAATCCTTTCGGGCTCCGCCCCAGTGGCTCTGGAGTTTCCCATGTTAACCTTATGAGAAATGAAATTATTGAATCTTAACAGCTGTTTCAATTAAACAAGTTGGTTCTGTTCTGTGATGTTCAATAGCATTAAAGTTACAAGGATTACCAACAGGGTGCAGCACTAGCACTATTATTTCTTTTACATTTATGACAACAGCAAAAGGTGAGTGAGCGTAGCGAACGAACTTCAACCTGGAGGCGAGTGAGCGTAGTGAACGAGCTAACCTGAAGGCAAGTGAGCGTAGCGAACGAGCTAACCTGAAGGAAAGTGAGCGCAGCGAACGAGCTCCAACCTAAAGGTGAGTGAGCGTAGCGAACAAACTTCAAAAAGAACCTAAATTTCTTAAACCATGTCCTCACTCATAACTGCTATAAGCATTTGATACTTATATGCCAACCCCGTACGAAGGACGGGTACTCTGCTAGTTTAACTATAAATTGAATTGATACACAACTAGCTTATTCAAGAAAACTTATTCTTTGGAACTCTTTAATTGGGTAACATTGTATATCCACTCCATCTTCCTTAATGTATTCCTAGGCAATGTGCTTTTTCTTCCAAAATAAACTAACCTACTATGTGCTTTATGTATTATGCAATTCTAAAGAGGATAATAATAACTTTTGTGTATTTATCACTTTGGTTCACAAATGGATAAGGAATATGAATATGTCCGATACTTACATCCATGTCAACATGGACCACTCCTGTTGATCTTCTCTTGGGTCTTCTTCTTCGCTGGATCACAGCCTGGGTTGCCTGAGCGTTCCTGATGTCGTTTTCCTTGTCTTGATCTGTAACAAAGCAAATTATATCAAATCAGTTCTAATTACTTCCTACTCGAGTGGGTATAAACAGCCTTACATGTAGATCAAATATGCAATTTTATGAATACTGCAAGTTTGTGTGTATTTTTATTTATTTATTTATTTATTTTTTCTACTGTAACTTATTTTAATTTTTTTTATCTGGCTTGGTCACCACCAGTTTCAAATAGACAGAACAAAACACTGGCATCTGTTTCTGTCTACTAGCAGACATTGTTTTAAATTTATAATCCTGGTAATTTTATCTGAATGCTGTCTTTCATTTATTCTTTTTGTTATTTTATAATGAAGGAATCCCAACGGATTTAATTAATCGCAAGTGCAATAATATGTAGGGTAACAGTAAATGAAAATAGAGATTCTTTGTGTATAAAATTGTTCTTGAGTTTTGATAACCGGGAAATAGACCTTGAATCAGTGTTGTATATTGCTGGGAAACTTACATTTTTTAAATGAGCGTTTTCAGTCGAGACTCGGCACATGACCGACGCGCGTCTACTTGTCTATAGTAAAAATAAAAGTAGGCCTACTGTGTATTTATGTTTTATTCGTCATGTGTATAAGTGTACAGTTCGTGTATGTGTTTCAAAAACTCCAAGACGCACCTAATGGGGAAGCTCAAGACCTTTAGGACTGATGATGGCGATTTAATTTCGCCGAAATGCATCTCCTGTAATAGGATACATTAGGATCGACCAGCGGACACAGGTAATTTAGCCTTTTATTGATTGTCATACCGATCCGGAACAACAACAAACGACATAAAATGAAGTTATGTATAATAGTTTGGCCAGCATATCTGAAAATATGCAAACCAACTGCTGTTCTTTATATAAGAAGGTTTCAACTGATTACTATAAGATCCCCGTGCGTAGAACGGGTACACAGCTAGTTATGCATATTATTGTAATTAAGGCAGTGTTTATTTTTCCTCTTAGTCAGTCTGACACAAAGGACGTTTAGTAAAAAAAATAATATATCAAGTTCCTTTTCATGTATTTTGGGTCATTAGTTTGTAGTTTAATTACTGTAATAATTTTATTTCTGGGAGAAAATAAATATTCTTACTCTTGTATTGTTATTGTAGGGAGGTAGTGTGTCTGTAGTTTACATTGTGTAGCAGTCAATTGCCTTTACCCTACACCCTGTGTTACCTCGGAACCTCTTTTGGTTCAGTCACTTTACTTTTACTTCCCTTGTCCGAAATATCATTAATATGTCTCTAGTTCTTAGGATAGTTTGATTAATAATAATTATTTTGGTTAGAACTTTTGGTTAAATTATTTACGTTAATACTAGAAGTTTTCCTTCAAAAAACTAAAAAACTAGTAAAATTTGAAAAATTACAGCATTTTTCCAAATTGAATTCTTAAATTATTTATGTATGTGCTAACCAAGGAAGCCAGCTGCAACAGAATGACCATTGTTGTAAACTTCTTGTGTGAATAAAATCAGTTTTTCTTTCATAAATGCATTTGAGAGAAGTTCTATACCTCCAAAGCTTTTAAAATGTCAAATCTTCTTTATTTACCTTTGTCATCAGGTGGACGAGAGGGTCGTCTCAGTGGCAGTGTGACGGATGTATCCGCAGGGTCTGAGGCAGGGCGAGGGGTAGTGGTGACCGAGGGGCGTCGCAGAGCTGCCTCCAGTGCGGGGGCGGACGCTCTGCTCGGCTCTGTTCTTGCGTCTTCCAACATGAACTGTAACATCAGATCAACATCAATTAGACAGAGAAAATAGAAAGGGACTGTTCAGTAAAGAACTAATTTCCTGAATTTAACATTAAAATACACAATACATTAATTTCTTTGGTCATATTATTGAAGTATTGGTAAATTTAAAAAAAATTAAAGATAAAAAAAGACAGCCCTATTCTTAAGACCCGCATTGAAAACTGTAACTCTTGGACGTTGCTTAGGACAATTTTGATTTGTTACATCAGCTATAAAACTTGTTCCATTAGCATTTACTGACCACAGACAAACATTTTGACAAGTAGGGTTCACAGTTCACAAATAAACACGTTTTCAGGAAATTACATAACTGGGAACTGTTCTTGACCCTTTCCCTTTCGGTGATGCAAGATTTTTTATTGTTTATCCATATAGTTACAATATCAACTATGGATAGTTATCCATAGTGGATAACTATCCATTATCTATAGTCATTGGATAGTTGCACTATCCAATGAAATTTTTTATTATGTAGGCCTATGACAAATTTTACACATTTAGCCTATTTTTTCCTAGGCAAGTACAGTAGACTCTCTCTTATCCGGACACCTTTTAACCGGACATCGGTTTAACAGGACTTAACTCGGTGGAAATTACATCTCTTTAGCCGGACAATTCTTATCACCACATCGGTTTAACCGGACTAGATTGGCAGGAGGTGGGTGGTACTGAAACTACTGTTCTTGTGGGAAAGTTTTGAGACCAGTAATCACGTGTCTAAAGACAATGCTCTCCCAAATTTAAGTCAAATGCTGTATCATACAGTATGTATCTAAAGGTCCGTTTTTGAGGACGTCAGTTTAACCGGAAAAACCATTATCCGGACTGGCCTCGATCGCGAGGAGTCTGGATAAGAGGGAGTCTGCTGTACTGCTAAAATATAAAACCAATGATGCAAAGTTTTTAAGAAAGTAAAAAAAGTTAACTACAAACATAGAGAGTGTTAACTTATTGGTAGACTTTGTAACCTTATAATAAATTTTAAAATGTATGATGTTCCTGCCTTCAGAGTTTGATTATGATAAACAGTTAAACTATTTCCTAAAAACATCCAAGGCACAAACATGTTCAAAAGTGAAAAAAATAACATTCCTGTACACAAGTTTGCTACTAGTACACACAAGTGTATTTTAAACTGTTAGGTTACATGATACACATATTATTATACCAAATCATGCAGGTTAATAGTACAGCATTCATGATACAACATGTTTGATAAAAAATTGGATTGAATACCATAATTAAATGGAATTCTGCAGCCTTATTAAATTTACCAAAAGTAAGGGCAATTTAACTCAAAAATCCAAACGAGCACACACAAATATGATTTTTCTAATTATTAAACAAGCAATGAAAATTTATGGGGAAAATGTTTAAAATTAGTTGTTGGTATTTTATTCAGGAGTAATATCATTGACTATTAGATGTCAAATGTAATAAATGTAATAAATGTGTAATAAATGTAATAAATGTGATGATGTAGAAATTGAAGAATAAAAAAACGTTTCCCCAGACAATGTATAACAATGTTTTATTGAGGGATTAAGCACACGTTATGTTATGTAATCATCTAGAACTGACTATCAATACATCCATGTTGATTAACTGATTTTATACAACTATGGTAGAACTCCAACCATTCTAATCATCCTGCATCATTTTGGTCATGAAGGGACTGTACAACATTCAGATAATAAAAAATTTGGATAGTTGATCTTTTACAAAATTTGGGGTAATTTACAGAAAATAAGTCCAGTTAAACCGAGCTTTAACTATAGCGATAACAGAACACATTTGCAAAGATTTCGTGACCGCGCAGGAGGATGATGATTTTCCATACCTCGGGAGATAAAGATGATGTCCATAAGACAGTGGAAGATTTAGCCGCGATCGCAAAATAAGATGAAGATGCTTTCATGACCGTGGGGTATGATGATGGATGATGGTGTCTATACAACTGCAGGAGATAATCAAAATTTGCTGGCAATAACGTAAAACGATGACGATGTTTCTGTAACCGCGGGAGACGATGATTTGTCTACTCGTGGAGGTTTTGGATTTAGCTGATTCTTTCTGGAAGCGATTGGGATGATCAGCGATTCGGATAGTTGGAATTCGCATAATTTGGAGTGCTACTGTAAAAAAGAGTTTATTTTAGTCCTGTGAAAACAGCCATCAATTACTTATTTGTGATTCCTAATCAATCAAATAAACACAACAAAAAATGTATTTACGACTTTATAAAATACCAAACCACAGATATACAATGACAAAATTTTCAAATTTTAAAGTGCAGAAAAATAAATTAACTTAATTAAAAAAAAGTGCAGAAAAAAAGTATCCAATTAATTTCAATTGTGCTAGAAATACCGTGCAGTAAAACCATACTAGAAGATAGAAGATATCATACGGTATGATAAAAGTTACTACAAAAAAAATCCAAAACAACTAAAAAAAGCAGTAAAAATACAAGTGTGCATCTGCGCCATTTTACCTTGCCAAACCTAAAATGTTTTTACCTAGCCTATACAAATATTTTTACATATCACTTTGTACATGTTGTGTATATAACGATTGCATAGATATCCAAAGGAAAAATTGAATAATTATCTTAATATGGTAAAGAGGAAACAAATATATCAAATGTAAAGAATCAATTATTTTCCTATTTAAGGCCAAAATCCACAGTAAAGGTAGCGAAATACGCGTTTTTGGGGTAACGGATAACAAAAATTGACATTTAAAATGTGATTTTTTCTTATTGGGCCATTAAAACAGATGTCATTTCAATAAAATTATTTGCTGTTAAAAGTGTAAATAATTTCTGACACATCAACATTTTTAGGTTTGGCTGGGTGCGTGAGTCACTGACATTGACACAGACATGCGCCAGATAGCCACCTTGCTGCCGTTGTCTACACGGAGGCGCCACGAGGGCCGGCGCTCGCCCGACTGTGCCACTGTAGGTTCCGCCGTCGTGATTGTGGCAGTTATGTGTAGCGGCTCTTCACTGTCCGGCGACTAGTAACACCACCATAACCTTAGATTTTCAGTACCCCTTGCATTCAGACAGTTTAGAAGAGTTCAAGTTTAATAAAGAGCAATGTTTGTTGTTGTTTATGACACTATTCATGTACTTTGTGCTTCAATTAATAAAGAAATATTGAATTGAATTGAATTGAATGATTTTATTGTTTAGTTACTGTCACAGTTGTGGACAGTAAAAAGGGTTGTGTGCTGCAAGTGATGAATTAGTTTTTTAGAGTCAACTTAACAAGTACAGGTAGGCTACTGCTCAACATGGTAAAAGCGAATTATCTGGCTATCCAAGTTGTAATAGTGATAGAACACTTGCGGGATAGATTCTGGACCTAGATACCATTTTTGGGATATGAATTAATGATCATATTTGACAGAAGATTGAGGTTAAAATAAAACAAAACCTGAGTATGGCCCTCACAAAAAAACTTAAAAAACTAATAACTTAGGCAAAATAAAAAAAAAAACGTTAAGCAAATTTTAACTTCGGTAAAACAAGGAAACCTTCTATCAGAGCAAAATAAAATTTGTAACATTCTACAAGAAGTTTTCTAGCTTATTTTGGTAACGTAAAAAAATTTACAATCTTGTAATGATAGTACAGTAAAAGCTTACATTTAAACAACATACACATTTAAAAAGAACTCTGTAGAAGTTTTTTTTGTGTTTAAATTTTTGTTGGTAACTGTGAAAACCAGACCACGTTTAGCGAGGACTACCTGTACTTATGTGTTAAATATTAACTTATATTACTTATGTACGTATGTATAAAATCTTTCACTGTTTATTAAATGATAAACTTTACACCTAGATCATTAATTTACCAAAAAAATGTTCCGTTGGTAGGCCTACTATTTACCAAATGTGAAGTATGAGTCAAAATGAGGGTGTATTTCATTATTCCCTAGCACATTGTATGAAGCTACAAAATGACAAAATCAAAGATACCAAATGGGACTTCTCGCATTGGCTGTTACTGGGAAGTGGTTGACATTTGTATTTACAGACGAGCAGTGTTGTTGTTGTTGTCTTACCTGATCGCTGCCGCTCAGTTGTTGAGTTGCCTGCTGCAGCTGTTGTTGTTGCTTCTTCTTCACCAGTTGTTCTGCAGATTTGATCTCCTCCAGTGTCACTCCTTGCGTCGACCGCCGTGTTTCCCTCACTCGCTTGGCGTGCGCCTTACGCTGTGTTTCACTCTCCTCGTCTCGCACCGGCGGCACGAACGATCTGCCAATTAAACGTTTTTTATTTAGACCATTAGTCAATAACGTTGCTGTAGGAGAGTAGACGGTTTTGAAAAAGATTTGCAAAATTGAATGTAAAGTTTCTTCACTTTGCCCTTTTTACCGTTTCAATTCTCAAAACTAAACAAATTATGAAGATTTTTATTTACTCCAAAGAGTTGGAATTCAACAGTATGTAAAAATAGTTTACCTTGTCGATTTATATGAAACTATAGACTACCATTGCGTTTTATGTGACCAGTTCACTGCTTACAGCCACTGAAATTAATTTAAAGAAAATAAAACACCTTCCCCGCCCCTATGTAGGTACACTGCAAACACCCAAATGTTCAAAATGAAAATATATCAAACAAGCCAAACTGATGTACACAAGTACAAGTTAAATCCTATGCATACTAAAGGCAGATAACCTAGAACTACTTCTTTATTCATTGGTTAAAAGGGTTCAAAATTAATTATCCTTAAATATTGAAAACATCGGAGACCAAACATATTTGTGACGGGCTGACGGCACTATATCTCTCGTTTTACAAAAAATTAAGTATGAAAAAATTTAGAAAACCTTTAATGATGTTAACATTAAGTAGATTACTCAGTTGAAAGGTAAAAGGAAACAAAAAGTTGATCAGTTCATGCAGTTCACTGCTTCCAAGTATTTAAAAAGGCTTGGTTAAGAATTTATTGGTTGATAAGAATGCTTAAGTGGCAAAGATATGGCTCCCACCGCTTAAAACAATAAGCCTTTAGTTGAGAATAATTGACATTGAATGTAATGAATCTGACTGAAAACACTATGGTTCAGAGATATATTTAAATAAAATATAAATAACTCACAAGCACAAGTAAGTTTACAAATTTAGCTAGTACAAGTTTTCAAATTCTTTTATTAGTGTGAAGATGAAATTTTGATTGCATATCCATTCTGAGAAAAATTATTACAATAAAAAAACATTTGGTTTGTTTTACATGTAAATATTCCTAATTTCTGTTTAAACTTGATTCTAACTCAAACACAAATTTTGTTTCATAATATATTTTTCATAAAAGCATAAAATACACAAAAATTGCAAACTATGAAAAACTCTCACCTCAACTAAAAATGTCAAACTAAAATCTCCCCACTCAAACACAAAACAATATGACAAAGGATGTGTTCCTATCAATGCACTGTAGCCGTGTGTCGAGATATCAAGAACATTAGGCTACTGGGCCACTCATAATCACTTTCCCTACACTCATGGCTGAGGCACTCAATGAATCAGCTGTTTAATTGCTTCCTTTATCAGCTGTGCCCCAATACCAGCTGATGTGTGCTCAGCTGAGAATCTGTGTTTACAACCGGGAAAACCCTTAAACCAGACCTGGAGCGGTTATGCTAATGTATTCTAAATCACTGTCAATATTTAAATATGAATACTGTAAACATATTGATTGTTGGTTGGTTAGTTCTTTTGAAATTAAATATTAGTGTATGCAGCCAGCATGAAGTATTTTTTTTTTTTTAACTTGACACATTTTATTTATTAAATTATTGTAGCCTATATTTTATTATATTACCTTACATAAGATTTGGCAAAACGTTTATTTCAAAAACCATAGATAAATTAAAGCAAGTGTCAAGTCAAATAATTAGATTAAAACATTTTTCAGGGGTAGTAAGTAATTTTCAAAATCCACAACACAAAATGCTGCAATAAAATTTGATGATACTAACATGATCAAGATACTCTTTGAGATAATTTAAGATGAATGAGTGAGTTGAAATAGTTAAGTCACATTTTTAATAGGAAAAAGAAGCTGTTCACTGTAAAAAACAATTTCAATAAAAAAAATAGATGGTGAGGCTTCACTGCATGTTAAAATCGATTAATTTACCTGGCTATTCTGCTAAACTTTCAATATTTCAGACAAGATGACAAAAGAATGTTTGAATTTTGGATGCATACATATTCAGAGTTCAATCTGGTATCATGCAACAAGCAGTAAAATGGGAAAAAGTTAGTCCAAACAGTTTTTACAAACAAAAATATATTTGTTACAAACTATAAAATAAATTCAACGATGAAAGTTTTCTGACCTGATTAAACCGTACAATTAGAACCAACTACAACAACATACCAAAAATCTAAAATAATTTGAATTTGTGAAATGTGTCATCAAAAGAAAGTTTTTAACCCTAAAAAAATGTTTTTAAAACTTGAGAAATGTTTAAATTGAATGGTGGTGACTAATATAGACAGGAAACACATAGGACAACTCAACAACAACAAAGGAAGAATTTCACCATCATGCGACTGAATAATTTATATTTTGGTCATGCAAACTATTTAGAGAACCCAAAATAAAACCCGTTCTGATCTTCTAATTAATCTTCTCTTCTAACTAATTATTGCTTTCGTGTCAAAGAGAGATTGGTTGAGCAACTATTGAAGTCATATGCAAATACCATTTTTGTCCAAAAAAAGTTAACCATACGATGCACATGTGATTTGAGTAACCTCTAGTATTTTAAATTTCTATGATTTTTATTTTTTTATAATTTATTTTGGTCAAGTTTCTTCTTATTATTAATTTTACAGGATACATAATTAAAATTATTGCATCAAATTTTTAGATACCATTTAAAATATAGATCTGTTAATTTAAAAACAACTAATACTTTAAGCATAAGAATCACCTTCAAAATTGTCTTAGGACACATTGCCAAACCATTACTTTATTTTCATTAAAATTCAAATTAATGTATGACATTTTTAATTTGGCATGAAATTGTCATAATTAACTGTCAAAGGGACAAAATCTAGGTTTTTATAACCAATAAGATATGCTTATCAATTATCAATTATTTAAGATGGGGATGCCACTATGTGCGTATTTTAACCCAAATATTACTTAAGATTGACAATAAGTTTTATCACTTAGTACAAAAAATGTTTTTACTAACGTTAGTGATAATTTTAGAATGGATTATACAAAACCGAAATGGTCACATGAGAAGATGAATTTACAGTAGTAGGATAAAAATTACACTTTGTAATGGTAACCCTAGAAAGAACAAAATTATGAATAGCTAAAAACAAAGTAATGCCAAAAAAAATATAAAAATCTGCTTAAATCCAAATTTGTTAGGCAAACCAAACAAAAAAATGTCTCGAGAAACAAGATAGTGGCACGAAAAGCCATGCAAAAAGATGATGAACAAAAAAAAAACAAAAATCACACAGAGCAATCTTTTGACTTTACGCACTTGAAGAAATTTTTAAAGATGTTTCCGGGACTTAATTTGCTACCCCCGGGAGTTGTAGGAGTGGTAGGGGTCTGCAAAGGGCTTCCGGTGATCATGGCCATTACACCGCTGAAATTGTGAGGGAGTGGTAAAACTATGAAACATTACAACACGTGACTATATACAAAAATGCAGACAAAACATATCACCACTGAATTTTATCAAAATTTCAAACCCACTAAAAGGAGAAACTATTAGGCCTAACTATTTGTTACTCCCTTTCTAAGTCTAAAAAACAACAGTTATTACTTATTATTACAGTAATAACAACAATAGTTACTAGGCCTAATTAGGCAATCAATCAGTTAATTAAACTACTCAGGTTTTTATGTCAGACATTGGGTATTTTCAATAGTGAATAACTACTTGCATTCTGACCTACAAATAATATAACATCAAAGGGAAAAAGTGCATAGCATGAGATGGGTAATGACTAATGAGAGACATGTAAGAGTGTGTGAGGTGACAAGATCAATCACTGACAAAACAGAAATGACCAGTGTCTGTAATGTCCCGCGGTGTAGAATAAAAAAAAACTGTAAGCACTCAAACAGAGTTATGATTAGAAAGTTTCAATGGAGAAAAAATTATTCCATTTAATGAAGTAACCCATGAGAATATTGTTAGTATACGTGTATATTGAAGATACTAGCTTTTTTTAACTAGTTACAAAACACCAATCCTAAGCTTTTAAGGAACTTAAAATCAACCTAAATTACACAATAAATGTCTCAAAACATTATGGATTTCTGCAAAAATATTTAATTATTTTATTTCCAAATCAATACATAGTCACCCATTCAACATTAACAACCAGACAATTATTTCATTGATGATAAGATAACATTTACAGATTATTAATTATCTCACAATAAACTATTCATGTGTAATAAGCACCAACAGGATTAACAAGAAGAGTCTAATAAAATTATTAATATTAATATCAATTTACCTAAACTCATTTTATAAAATACTTGTATTGATGTGGTAAAAATACAAGTGAAGGGTACTAAACAATAGGAACAGAGTGCTTTGTAACATCCTTTTAGGACAAATATCACAATACCTAGTCCCCTGTTGTGTTTTAATCATTGACTGCAAAATACACTGTGTATGGAATCGTCCAGTTCTTTTACGGATCTCAAAGGAACAATTGATCATGAAAATATCAGAAAATCACTGTTTATAAACTTGGGATTTACTTTTCCTTTTCACACTTAAGGATTCAAAATACTAATCCACAATCTACACCAATTGAGCTTTACAAATAGTAAACTTGTTTAGCTTATGTTAATATATTTGGATGTGTGCAACTTGAACTTAAGTTTAACCAAAGGTCACCTCACACATACTGAGTATACTACAACTGGGGAATATATCAAACCAATTTCATACTCTGAAATAAATATTAAAACATATAAAATCTTGATAGAAAATCAATAACATTTTTCACAACCAAATGGTATTATGCTTAGGTCTATTAATCTAAGCAACTTTAACTAAAACTATGAACAAACGTAGAACTGGCACATACCTGCGTATGCTAGGATGAGATTGTGGGCTGGACGTTGACGTAGGTGTGGACGGAGCTGACGAGGGAGAGGAAGTAGGGGTAGTAGCCGAGGGGGAGGTTGTTGTAGAGGTGGGAGGGATGACTAGAGCTGGGGTGGAGGGGGGAAGTGGCAACCGAGTGTCCTCTCGCACCAATCCCCTCCTGAAACCAACACATACAACATTGGCAATTTTTGTTTGCACAAGATTTTCTCAAATATGGTTTTGTGACTGTTAAAAGTAAACGGTCTTTGGTAAAAAATTAACTCAATTCAAGTGTATAGTCACGAGTAAGGTGCATGCTCAAAATGGTGCTACCTTTTGGGAAGAAATGAACAACATTCAAACATATTTTATCAAGTCTTGTTAATTTTTTGATCTCTGTTTGGTGGACTATTTGTCTTATTCAAGTGGATTTCCCTGAAGAGAAGAAACAGATTTTTTTTATAACAAAATTGTTAAAAAGAAATAGATATTTCCCTAAATAGGCTAAGTAATTATTTGAGTAATTGATTTTAAACATCTAGAGTCTTAAAAATTATTAGTGAATTGTTCCATCCCCAGCAAATTGCTAATTACTTATTGTAAAAAAAGTAGGCTATTTAGGGAAATACCTATTTTTTCCTAAAGAATGATTTTATTATTTTAAACATCTGATTTTGTTTTTACATCCTCTCCCTTTACAGTTATCTTATATCTTACAAGCTGTTTTAAAGCAAGCCCTTACTGAGCCACTGAAACAGTGTAAGAAACGTGATCAATAAAACATGTTTAAATGTCTAATATAACTTTTCATAGAAGTATAATATTTTTAAGAAAAACCAACCCAAAATTTTAGTAGTAATAACTCCATTGAAAACCATGATAAAAAGGATCAATCCCTATTGGTTTTCTGTTGTGAAACAAATCTACCAAAATAACAAGTCCCTTATCAATGTGGTATGCGAAATCAACAAAAGATTACGAATAATTAGTATGCATCAATCAAACTAAATACTGACACACACAAAAAATAGTTAGTCAAATTTAATTTAATATGAAAAACAAATACAATTGCATTTGATTGACTGTTAGTAGTGTGCAACAGTGCTAACCCTTAACACTCACCTGCATTTGATCATTTCATGGACAATCCATTCAAAACACACTGTGTATCTCTCCATTGTCGAGAGATTTACTGACAACTTCATACAAATAAAATGTTTTTCACTGAGCTGCATTACACTGCTTGTGTTGCAGGATAGAACTGGTACGAGAACAGACAAGAACTTAACTGGGACGGAGCAGGTCTGCTATAATAGCAACACCTGTTCTTTGTTTGATTTGGTGTAGTCATACTTCACATTTGGTTAAGTGTACCTAGCGGTGGTAAATAAAACTGGTTTAAATGGTATGAATAACAAGTCAAATATGTGTATTTTAGTTCCCAAATTATTGTAAATGTTTGACGGGAAAGCTTGCCATATTTAGGTGCTTAGTATAGAGAACCAATAAATCTATTTTTAAAATACGATTAAAAAATTTTATTTTCTTGCAGCTGATATTTTTGACAAAAAAAAGCTAAAATATAACTCATGTCCATGCAATTGAATTCTCCTTCAGCACTAAGAGTTTAGTTTCTTATCAATATTCACTAACAAGGATTCTTTCCAAAAAATGAAATTTGTACGTTTGAACGCCTAATTCTCAATTATTTTGAATGTTTTAGGGCAATATTGTTACAAAAGAGCAGAAGGGCCTAAGTTTAAATGATTTTTGATTTTTGTTTGTGACTTACCTGAATATAAAAGAGACCATTCTTGAAGAATTACAACACAACACATACAAATTTTAAAAACTCAACATCATTTATACCATTTCCAAGTCAACAATTATCTGGCCACCATTGAACCTGACAAAACATTTCTTCCTCACTCAAGATATACCTGATTTCCCCAAAATAACCTAAAATCAAACCCTTGTGCCTATTGTTGCATCATCAACCTCAAACATCCCAAATAATTCAACATTTTTTGGGATGCATGGACAAAAGAGAAATCCTCTTTAGTGAATCTTGATGATCAACTAAACTCTTAGTGTCAGCGGGGAGTTAAGATTGTGTAATACAGAAGTTATCTTCAGTTCCATCCTGTTATCAACAATAAACCTATTTTGTATCTTTGTTCATAAGATTAGTGCACTATATACCTCGGGAAGCACTTCTCTTTGAGCGAGGCGGAGCGTGTGGGGGTGCGACCGGGGGTGTGCGGGGGATGCAGCGTGGGACACGACGTCCCTGCATTGATCTTGGCTCTCAGCTCCAGGTAGCGGCGGTAGAACCTGCCACATGCAGCAACATGCTCATGCCAAGCAACACAACACACTTACCTCCATGTCTTGTGATGTAAATAATACATAATAATTGTGATTTTTAGAATGAAGATATAGCAGCTTACTTTAGAAAAAGTCCAGGTAGGACATGGGTAGAAAACAGACAACATTTCATCTCCTTAGGGGCTTTGTCAAAACAAGTTTCAGAGATTCAAATTTCAAAGTGTACAGAGACCAAGTCTCAGGGGTCAGAAAATTGTGTTTCCAGAGAATTCTGTGTGTACTATGGTCTACCAGGACATTTTTCAGATAAGCTAGCTGCTATTCCTTAATTCTAATAACCACAATCCATGCCAAGGTATTTCCTAAAAAAAACCCCTGTTTGATTAAATTATTCAAGTGGGCAATTTTGACACACTGTAGCATAACAATTATTAAAATTTGCACAGTGATTTTACCAACTAGTAACTTTTGCTATCTAACTCTTAGGTTATGTTAGTTCACAACCAATGATGAAAATGAGACTGATTATGAAAATGGTATCGGATTGATATTTATTGAAAATTTAATTATTGATTGTTGAAAGTATACTTAAATTTTTGAAAGATATTAAAATTAAAGAGTTACTAGGCACCTTATTGGCATTAATGTAAAATAAGAGAGAAAATGAAGTATTATCAATTAACTTTTAGTGAATGTAAATAATGAACAAACATTGAACAATGATAAGTTAGTATCACAGACAGTAGTCTACAGTGTGATTATGAATTACAACGACGTTGACACAAAGTATTATTAGAACCATTGACAGTTTAAGATTTTCACTAAACCAACATAGCCTAACAATTTGAGTGCTTGGCGTGAGAACAACACATCTTTTATTTCTAAGGAATAAAATAAAATACATTCATTAAGTCACATTATCATCCAGAAAAAATTAATTATGCTAAGCCAATAATAAGTTTTAGTAGGCAAAAAAATTCAAACATTTTAAAACAAAAGTGTAAACATTACAGGGTCATTTAAACAACCAAAGATTGAATGACTTAACATAAACGTTCTGATTGGCTTTAGCTAATTTTCAGCTTTACTGTGAAAGCTACCCCCGTCACAGCATACCTGCAGGCTAAGAGAAATTCCAGTTGCTTTATTGTATTTGAATTCAAAAGGATTCATTGTAAATGAAATTTAAATTTAAACCTAAGTCCAACGTCCACTATAAAACACCTATTATTGGTTCAATGAATACCTAAGTTGATGCAGCTACTGGGAACAAGAAGCATTTTAGTTTTAATCAAAATGCTTTAATGGAATAAATACTTGCCAAAAAACTATAATTATCTCCATCATAGAACACCTGTAAATTTGGTGTGTTGCTAACCTAGTGGTTAGCGTCTCGGACTTTGGTAAGGGAGAGACGGGATCAATTCACGGCACATCCACAAAACTTTATTCTCACGTTGACCTCTTGTAAAATGCCACTGGTGTATGAAATAAAAACACCTACAAAATAAGCTATTTCAAGTTAGGCCTACTTTAATGAGTAAAAGTTCAGACAGATGCTCAGAGTAACAACGTTGTTTTCAATGTTTAAACAGAGAAAAAAAAGGTTAATTTTTGGGCTACAAAACCCCTCTTTATGTGTTTCAATCATTCTGGATTATGTTACAAATCTTTCAATCTTTGGATCAATTCCAATTTAGTCTCAAGCTTACTGGATAACGTTTCGTTTTGAAGCAAACTTCAACTAATAATTTAATTGGGTAACTCTTCAGCAGACACCCTGACAAAAACATTAAAAAACCAGTCAACAACACAATCAAAATTGTTACTGCTTGCAGTTATTAACGACAAATTTAAAACAAATAGTAAATCTGAATCTACAAAAAGCTAGCTCTAGACAAGACTGAATTGTAACTTGCTTTTCGTCCGCCTCGAAGCTCTGTGTGCGCCTCAGACCGATCTCCTTGTCCTTCTCCTCCGGAGCGATGACTCGGGGAGGTCCTGTAGGAGAGGTTATCTTCTCTGCTGGCTCATTCTCACCTATCCCTAGGGGGAAAATGTGATGATTACCACTACAATACAAGTGAACTATACAGGGTGGTAATAAAGTCCGAAGACAGTTAAATATTTTCGAAACGACAACAGGTAAATCAATAAGATTTTATACGTAAACACAACATCTAAAAATCTACTTTTTTTAGGAAAATCAATTTTCATGGGGACGTCCCGCAAGGAGTCAGGAGGAAATCTAAAATAGAAGCAGAGGTTGACATGTACATCAAATTAAAGGTCTTTACTAGCAGAATATATTGCCGCAAATTTGAACTCAAACGTACAACCGAGCCAAGAATGACAGTTGTTCAAAGATTCATTTAGTTTGCATTGCTATTATACACTTACTCCTCAGAGGAATCGGAAGAAAATTGTTAACGTAAGCATAGGTCGATATGCACATCAAATTAAACGTCTTCACTAGTAGATTACAATGCCGTAAATTCAAGCTCAAAAGAACGCCTGAGTAAAAAATGGCAGTCGTTCAAAGCTACAAAATGGCAGATTCAAGAAATTTTTGAACGGCTGCCATTTTGCGCAGGATCAACCTTTTGAAGTGTGGTATGCGGCATTGTATTCTACTAAAAAATACCTTTCATTTAATGTGCATACTGACCTATGCTTCCATTTAAGATTTTCGACCGACTCCTTGAGGGCCGTCCCCCTGAAGAGTTATTGGATCACTGAATATGTGTTAAAATAAAATTTTATGCTCTGTAACTTTGTACCAAGTATTGTAGCTCTATCTACATTATTTTTTAAAATATTAAACTGTCTTCGGACTTTATTACCACGCTGTATACAATTCCTAGGTTAAAGAATGGTGTGTTGCTAGAATAGTAGTTTGCCGTCTATAACTTTGGTGAGGGAGATAGCCTTTGACTCGTGGTACCCCCACAAATATACTATCTATTCCATTCCCATTGAAAGTGTTTGTAATACCTTTTTGCTAAAAATCCCACAAGTATAAACACACACAAAAACACCTTGAATGAAAACTAAAAGCATTCAAGGAATTTGTAAATAAAAAAGAACTAATCAAAATAAATTAAAAATGAACTGACAATATATATTTAGGTGGGGAGTAGCTTGTGACAATGTTACAAGTTACTGTATTACTGTCATCTAACACTTGGTCATCTTTTCAGCTTACGCTACAAACATTGTCTACCGATATTAGAAACAAAGTTAAAAATTCCTTAAAGCATGCAACAATCTGAAGCTATCAATAACGGAATGTGAAAGACAAAATCTTTAAAGGTACCTGAACAAATATAAGATGGGAAATTTTACACTATTACAATTATTGCTGTTAAAAGATCTAAAACACATTTGTCATATAAAAATATTTTAAATTATTGATCAAAACCTATATACCTTTAAACTGGCACAGAGGTCAAAAAAGTTTGGTTTGTTTCAAACAAATTTGTTAGCAAAACTTAAATCACCTATTTATTTCTTGTATTGAAACTTAATTCTGGAAACATATTGAATGACTTATACTTTTTAAATTTAACTGAATATTTAATAGGCCTACCTTGGTTCAATAGCCAAACTACAAAGTAAAAGTGTTACTATAGAATAAAAAAGAACTTTCTAATGTAACAAAAAAGTTAAAACTCAATAAATAGGTACATATTTTGTCTAATTTTTGTTAATTTGTTGGGCTTGCTTAGTGAAATTTAATTCATGAACCAATTAATTATGAGAAGATTTTTTTATTATTCCCCATGGTAAAATAATACAAAGCAAGATACACCTGACATACAACCTGGTAGTGGAGGCTAAGACTCCTGTACAGAAGTGATACATTGTTTGTGGCCAGTGGCATATGAGTTTCCACATATTACTGGAATCCTGACTTACCTTTTAAAGCTACATGAGGTAACTCAAGGGCAACTCATCACCTTCACCTTTACATGTCCTTCTTACAGTTAACTGTTAAACTACGATTTTATTTTTTAAAGGCTAACGGTGTGTTTGAATTAACAGTTATGAGATTTTAGTAATCTTTAATTTGAAATCCCAATTCAGCCCTAAAGGTATTGTACCTACATAAATTGATGTAGGCCTACTTCTCACAATAGCAGTTCATGATAACTAGTAGTAGTGTTTTAAACAGTTTATTTATATGTTAAGTAATTTAACAAAAGCTTTTATTGGGCCCTAGACGCAAAATGGTTCATTTTTGATTTTCTAGGAAAACTTTGATGAAACTGTTCTGTTATCCCCATTGTTTATGGTGTCCAAACGGTGATGTCATAATCAGAAATGTGACTTTTTCTTTGAACCTAATAATATTAGCACTGATTTTGGATGTGAGTTTCATCCCTTCAGGATCATTAACAAAGTTCTTGGGTTACGAGGTTGATGAAAAACTAAACTGGAAAACATATATTGATATTTTGTTCAAAAAATTAAATTCTCTCTGTTTTCAAATGTTTGTTCTGCAAAAAATTACTGACTTACAGACAAGATTGATTGTATATCATGCATTGTTCGCTTCATCAATACAGTATGGTGTTGAACTTTGGGGAGGTAGTTCAGGTATGGAGTCTGTTTTTAAATTTAAAAAAAAATATCTTAGAATCATGACAAATTCTAAACCTAGAACATCCTGTAAATCTATTTTTAGGGAACTCAAAATGTTAACACTACCATCTATGTACATTAGTAAATGTCTGTTTTATGTCAAATCTAATTTTAATATGTTGATGGAAGATAACATATTCACAATTATCAGACTAGGAACAGAAATGGTTTCCAGTTTCCTATTCATAGATTAAGTTCCTTTGAAAAGTTGCCTCAGTATTTTGGGGAAAAATTATATAATAAGCTACCAAACAGGATAAAGAATATTGATAATGATCTTAAGTTTAAGAAAGAAGTTCAGTCCCTGCTGCTAAACAAAGTATACTATTGTATAAATGATTTTTTATGTGAAACTTTGTAATATTATGTAAATATGTATATAAAATTAAGGCATTTGATTAAGTTTTTGCCGAAAAATTGTATCATGTATATTTTGCTTTTAGTTTTTAAGATGTTGACATGTCACCTGTTTTACCAGCTGTGCTGGGGAGGAAAATGTATTGTGACGAATAAAGAATCTGAATCTGAATCTGAATTAATGATACCAAGAACGTTACAGTATGCTGTTTACCATGCCAAATTAAGAATACCATTTTTTGTAACGATTCTGCATAGCCCACTGCCCAGTCACATCTTGGTCTTCGGGAACATCATTAAATTGTAGCTTCTCCAAAATATGGATGCCAGCTAGTTTTTTGCCTGTTGGACACAGTATTCTCCAGAAGACCCAGGTCAGTCTACTTTGACCTAAAGTATCTTGTCTATGACCAATCTAATCATCTTGTAGTTTACACATTGTCAATACTTACTCAGAGGTAGTGTCTTGTTAGATAAATCTCCTCCGCCTCTACTTCTGAAGGAGCCTGGTCGCCTCCAAGAAGGAGTCACTGAGTCATCATTCTCCGCTGTGCCTTGCTTGGGTGGAGAACTGGGAGCCTGGAAAAACCAAACACACATTGAAAACTAAAAATACCCCCACCGCAGCAAACCTGCAGACTAAGCTAATTTCTATTTGCCTGATTGGATTTACTCTAAAATATCTCCTTAAAAATATCACATTATTCCTCATTTAAATAGCATTGGTTTAACGAGTACTTCTAGGTTTGCTGCAACGAGGAAAGTAAAAACGAGTTTTTTTAATGAAATGTTAATAGTTTGATATGAAATTAATAAATTTTCCAAATTTTATAAAACTATGTTCATAAACAAGCGAAATACAACAGTTTACTTATCCTCCATAAGAATAACATGGGAATTCTATTTTTTTCCCTCCGTAACTATAGGTGCATAAAAAAGCTTCAATATGCTAAATTATTTGTTTTTTAAGCTCTACAAAATGGTTTGGAAAGAAATTGCAAAATTGTACGTTTTTAGCGTCAAAAATGGGAAAAATCAATTTTCACCCCATAAAACCCCCATTCCCATAGTCTCAATTATGCTCAAATATGCTCAATTATGTCAATTATGCTGGTTCGCGAACTCGTCCAAATAAATGTAGGTTTACACGTTTATACCAAATGTCATCAAAATCGGATCATTTTTGCTCGAGTTATCGTGCTAACAGACACTTATATTTATAAATTTGAACTGATGGTGTTTTTGGCCTCTGGGGACCTCAAAATGAAAAAGTAAATCGGTCCTGGATCCAGTTCTTACAATGATTACTACGGTAATAGCTTATTCCCTATATGGGAAATTCGCTAAAAAGATCAAGTATGAGTATTTTGGATTCAGCAGTACCGGTAATAAAGATATTGAGTAGGGATGGTCAAGTCTCGAAATTTCGGGAAATTTTCGGGAAATTTTAAATCTCGTTACACGAGACGAGATTTCTTTTTGGCCAAAATTTTTATCGAGACGAGAAAACAAAAAAAAAAAAATTGAAAACGCCTGCAGAAAGTCAATGCAATACCCGCAATACAGGAGCGTGTTGTAGTTGCGTTTCCTTTGCGAAGGCGTTCTCATTTAATTAATTCTTTAAATGTAAATATTACTTTAATTATTTTAATAATATTACTTTAATGACATTTGAGAAGTTTTGTTAAGTGTAAGCAGTGTGAGGAATGTTTTATTACTATAAAAAGTCAAAACAAGTAACTATTTTATAAAAATTAATATTGCTTTTATTTTATGATTTATTTTATTTTAGGATAAGTTGAACTCTATCCTAACTGATATCACTATGTTTCCTAATCATAGGCATTTTTAATAAGTTAGGCGTGATTAATAAAAAAATGTTATGCTGATGTTTTTTAATAAAAGATTGTAAATATTCTTGCCTATTATCATTATTTTTGTATTTAGACAGTCATCTAACAATGTAACAAAATCAGGTAAAAATTTTAAACGTGCATTTCCCGTTGTGTATGAGAAGGGAAATCCCGTCTCGATCTCGTCTCGAAATTTTATGAGAAATAAAAAATCTCGTCTCGTCTCGTCTCGAAATAAAAATCCAATCTCGTCCATCCCTAATATTGAGGTTATAATTACTTCAACTGAGGGTCGGATTTTAGGTGTAACTGCAGGTAAAAAAATCAAATTGGTTGATTGAGGAGTTATTTTTTTAAATTTTTTTAAGTGATAAAAGAGTTCAGCTAGGTCACATGAAAAAATTAACGTCCAGTGTCTTGAAAGTAAAGATTGTGTAAATTAGGACGGCGTGTAGGATGATAGGAAGGTTCCCTCAACTCTGAGAGTCACCAGTGGTATTGAACTAAACCAATGGCAATCAACTGTTGAGTCTACTGTGCAAAATAAAAAAAGTGACGGTGGTGAGGAAATGGTTCTCATCCTCAGGCCCACCATTTTAATTGACACAATCTATACATTGTTTCAAGACCATTTTACGATTCTCAAATAAAGGATGTAACACAGAGCACATAGGTTTTTAGGATTTTTTGTGAGGGTATCAAGCTTAACTAAATGGAATCTAGTCTAATCTGGCAAAAGAAAAATATAGCATTTTTCAAGGTGGGCATGGGTTGATTAGAAAGTCAGATGCCTCCTTCCTCTTCAACTCATGTCTTCATTAAATGAAAACACTGTCAATCACAGTGAAATATTCTAATATTTAGTGCATAGTGTAAAGTGTGTCTTTCTTATGTCCGATTAGAATTGTTTCCCTTCTGGTAACACTGCTATCGTCACAAATATCCAATTTTTAAGTAAGTTAGACAGATTTAAATTTATTAAGAAAAGCTTATTTTGTAAAACTGTAATTTGAGCAGTCATTTATTGATTAGAACGACACGTAGGGATCATTAGCTTGTGTTATACAACTTGAATACAGTGTTTGTTACCAATACACTGAGAGAGTAAACTTAGATGAAACAAGATTCTTCTAGAACCAACAACAAAACTTACTGGTGTAATAGGAACTTGTTTTGCGACTTCTGTTGAATTTTGTATCCTAGTCTGTTCATCTCTGTTGACTCTGTTGTTCTTTTCTGAAATAAAAATCAATTTTACTTTAAGTTTAAAGTAATTGGCATTGCATGGAGGGAACTGGCAGTTTGTCATACCTTTTTCACAATATAGGAACTTATCATGGGAGATCACCAGGTATAATACCCACCACCAGGTATACCTACACTGCTCTGTATCTCACATATTTTCCTGAGGTATCATATACCACATTCTCCTGTAAATTTGTAGTAAATGTAAAAGAGACTATTATGATGGCTTTTCAGTAGTAGATTGTCGATGATTGAAACAAATCTACGGGAACACTACAATATACCTAGTTATGTAGATGAAGATTTCAACACAGATTTAAAAAGGTTGAGACATAAGTAGACCTGTTTGTTTGACTTATATAAACAATATAAAAGAAATTGAAGAATTAAAATTTGGATTTCAGAAAAAAAAAAAACATGATTGAGGAAAATATTTTAAACTTTTATCTCATCAGAAACTTGATTTTTATGAAATAACAATGGTTTTTTACATGTCTTCATATAATAATTAGGCCTACCTATTTCCTAAAAGTTGAGAAAATTGTGAAAGTTTGCAACATTTCCTAAAAGTTGAGAAAAGTGTGACAAGTGTGCAGCATAGTCAAATACAAGAAATGTTACCAATAAATATTAGAACTTAGAACTCATCTGAATTTCCAATTAGGTTTACAAAACCCACAGGATTTCTTATGTATTAAGGTCGTTCTAAATGTGCTTGACATGGTATAGCAATATCAAGTAGTTAATAAAATAGTTATTTATTTTAGCATTCCCTTAAATGACAATACTCCGTACCTTCATGTAAATTACACCCTAAATAACCTAAAATGTATAAACTAGCCAAATAATTTAAAAATAATACTTACAAAAGGAAAATTATAATTAATACGTTTAAAACCTACAGGCGCAATCAACAAAATTTCAAGTCATCAAATTACATAAGCATATCTATGTACAGCTGAATTATGCCAACACAAAATTATTGCAGCTAAGAAGCAATTCAACAACTGTTAAATAAATTAAAAGCGACTGAAAATTATGTTTCCGGCAAACTCACCCTCCTCATAAATATCATAACTTAAAGAGTCATCATCATCATCATAGGAACTATCCAATGAATCAGATGTGTCATCATCATCACTTTCCTCGTCTTCTAATGCAGCTTGTAACATTACAATTAATTCTTCATGGAAAGTATATTTTACTTGATAAGTATTGATACTATAATTTTTTTTATGTCAAGATTAGTTACCAAATTATTTATACAACTATAATAATAATGACAGGATCCATCTCAAAGAATATTTATTTAAATGTTAGTCTCTTACAATTCCGAGATTATTAACATTTAATATCAGTATTATATTTTGTTAGTAAAAAATTAACACCATGAAATAATAATGTTACAAAAGTGTATTGTTGTATCTATTTAATTATGTGTCCATCGTGAGGTATTGTATACATGTACGATCAGATTGTTGACTCAGTCAATAGTAATACAGAATGTCCTACAAAGGGGTTTAGACGTTTGATTAAATAATACTAGGCAATGTAAACTAGCTTCGAAGTTTTACACAATTTTTACAACAGGTTTTGAAAATATTCTGTGAAAATGTCACCTTCCTAACATTTGTAGAGACAAAATGTCATCATATTAAAAAATATAACTGATTGGCCTCAAGCAATATTTAATGCTATGATGAACTGTCATAAATTAAATATTATAATATATCAAAACAAAAGCTTCTTGAGGTATCATATACCCCATACTTCATTACATTAAGTTTAACACTGTTTCATTACGTTAAGTTTACATTAAGTTTTTGTATTCCTTAAAAGGAGTTTTTTTTTTATATTGCCTGAAGAAGAGTTGGATGTTTAAACTAACCTTTTTGATGTTATGATTGTGACTAAAAAGTTTTATTTCCAAATCAAGTTTAATCAATTGTGAAATTGAATTATTTTTTATGTCTATATGTTGAATATTTAAGTTAGAGTTTTGTCTAGTATATATTTAATATCGGGTACACCTAGCTTTGTCAATTTTAAGAACTCTCTTATTGACCATTCTAATGCATAATAGTTAAAACACTAATTGTGATAAATTATATTGTTATTCCACACAAACAAAACAAAAATACCAGTAATAACTCACCAACTCTGCTGTCTTCACTAGGTTCTGGTTGAATCTTCAGTTGTACTTGAGGCACGATCTCAATAGGTGTATTTTCCTCGTTCATTTGTCGTTCCTTCTCCTTAGCCTTTTCTAATATCCTGCAACAAGTGTACGAGTGGTGATTGCAACTAATTTTGTTCCATATTAAATTAAGATATTTTTATAATTATATACTGGTGGCCGTTAACATGTTCTTCCAGGATTTTATCGTTTGTCTCTCAAAGCGAGAATAGCTGTAGGCCTAATGCTTTAACAAGCAAAATTGGGCAAAAAGCAAACACCTGAGTTAGACCGGACATTTAAAAAGGAGAGGACATAAAAAAGCTATGGTAAAATATGGAGGGAACCCCTGAACAAAAGAGAACCCCTTGGACACTTAGAAGGTGGAAACATAAAGTAAAAAACGACATGAGATTGTTAAAAGCCAATGATGAATACACAGAGGATCCCAGGAAGTCGAGGTAGTTAGTATGTAGGACCAAGTATCTTCTAGGATTTAAATGTCCAAGGGGAAAAATATAAGCATTATGGGTATGTATTTAACATTGATCAGTTGTCTGACAACCTTTGGTCAAAGACATGAAAACCTTGTATCTTTGTAACATCAATTAGATCATTTTAAAATCACAATGAGTACTGGTAGTGGTTTCACAAACATCCGTAGAGATAAAACTACGCAAGTATTTTATTGCTAAACAAAGTCCCACAAACTTAGCATTCAATAAACCCAGTTGGACAAATTTGTTTGAGAACAGGTAAAGAATTATTATGCAAGTTCTAAACTACCCAACACTGAAGTTTATTAATTACAACCTGAGGCTAGCAAACTAAAAAACTCAGTAACTTCAAAAGTTAACATTGACTTTGCCATTTTGGAATCAGCACTTCTTGCGAACTGGATACCTGGAGACTCTATGATCAGCTATTTAGCCTAAGGAGTCAGTCGGTCAGCACAATAACCTATATTTTATAAAAAAAGTCAAGCATTTTTTTTAACCAAGACAAACTTCAATTGATCTATTTTATTATTATGGTATTTAAGAGAATCATGTACAAAAGTGGTGAAGAAGTAAACTGTGCCAAAATCTGTCTCAGCTTTAAATTTGGCCCATATTAAAACTCGGCACCCTTTCAGTCTACACTACTCTGAGTGTTGGGGACTGTACTGTATTGAGTTTTTTGCCAGTAGAGTAAACAAATGTTGAGTTTGTGTACCTCTGACTGTGCCGCTTGTTGATGATCAGGTCTCCTTTCTCTCTCCTTAAACTTTCTTGTTTTTTCCTCAGTTCCTCCAGCACCTTCACCATCTCTGAGTCTGCCACGTCAAAGGCTGTCTGACCCTGGAAACACACACATGTATTAAATATGAGTGGCCTTCAATCATTACAATTTTACACAAGAGTTAAAATTTCAGTTAACACTTGATCAGAGAACAACATGTTTTAAAATTTCAAAGGATCGAGAATCCATAAATTTTAGTATCCGCACATCACTAGTTGAAACCTATCAACTTTGGGTGGGTGTGTGAAATCTGACCTGTCACTCTCCCACCAATGTCTAAGAAGCTGACAACTAAGCTATCTATTAACAATTAGCTTTGTATACTAAGTTGTATTAACGTAAGTTGTATTACTAAGTTGAGTAATTTTACACAGCTTCAGATCCTACTTACAACAAGATTTTTAGTGTCCATGTCGCACATATGCTGAATCAGCATTTCACATGATTCCTTCTGACCCCAGTGAGCTGCTGCATGTAGGGGAGTCCAACCGTCGGCATCCTGAGTGTCTACATCAGCACCCGCCTGCAGCAGTAGTCTGGAACATAGTGAATGGTCAATACAAGGACTAGCACAGTCAACCAATACATGACATCAATACAATCTGAGCATAGCAACTTTTTGAGAAACCTTCCGATAGAGCCCTTTAGAACGGACTGGAAAGCAGTTGTTGTCTATATTATGTAGGGCTGTTGACTGGCCATATGGAAACTTGGTCAAACAGACTGATAACAATTTTGGGCAAATGAATGGGAAACTGCTTTTTCACACTTATGACTGGTTTGTCCATCTCTAACCCTAAGAAGGTTGAAAGTTCTAGAAAATGTGATCTTGAGGCTAAACGAAATTAAATAAATTGATGGCCTTCAGTTGTTAGGATTGTCCAAGGCTGATGGATTAAATTGAGGAGTACTACTAAAGGCTTTGAGGTTAAAATAACACTAGCTATAAAACAATGTTTTCAGGTGAAACAAAATACATTAGAATAACAATAGAATATCAACAGAAGAAGAATGTCTCAATTTTTGCTTATAATTTAAAACAAACAAGTACTGTGAAAATTAACATTTCTGAATCTTGTACAAACGACAACACCTACTCAATGACATTGATGTAGCCCTTGGCAGCAGCCACGTGTAACGCAGATGCTCTTGTCTTGCTGTGTAACTCCTCACGTATCTCTCCCATCGCCAACCACTCCCTTGCATCCTTCAACATCATACGCTCCTCCTCGTTGCGGGCCTCGTCACAGTCTATGCCTGCACACATAAATATATCATTTGACTAAACTGCATGTTCAATATTTGTATAATATTCATTCTATTAAAACGTAGTTTTTGGTCGCTTTAGGTGACAGTGAAATAATATTGTTTGTTTGATCATTAATCTCTTTTGAAAATTCACCAAGTGTTATCGTACTTGGAGTGCGATGCCTAGTAGGCAACAAGTTAACACATACAGCAAAAAATTATAAAAAAGGGGGTTTGATTTAACACCATGATGGAACACCATGTTAATATATTTTCTGCTCTCCGCTCTCTGCGCTCCTCTTCCGCTCCTAGGAAAACCCAGCTTTAAGGGGACTGTGACTGAAAAAATGTTCGAAAATTGAAAAAATTATTTCTTATCTGTTTTAACGTTATGATGAAATAAACGTACGATGAAATAAAGGTGGTCACATAAATTTTGATTAAAAGATGATTTTTCACAAGAAAACTGCCAGAATTTGTGTTATAGCTCGTGTAAAATAGCTGTTCTGAATTATATACAGTTTTAACTGCTTAGTCAATTCCTGAACGTCTAGGACGGGCTCACAGCTAGTATTCCTTTAAACTGTGATCCAATATTTGTGTTATATGTTGATAAAATTAAAAAAATAACTATTGGGGTAAGCCAAGAGCCCATTTGATGGTGAGTATGTTTGTATGATTTACCTTGCTCGTCTATGTGTTGTTGCAGCATATCCTCCATTTCGTCGGACTCTGCAATGTCCACCGGCAGTTCACCATCATTGTTGACTGACGCCACATTGGCCCCGTGCTCTATCAGGAACCTGCACAACAAACCAAACAACTACAGTGAAACTATATTGCAAACGTCAAGAGTATTCTTTTTGTCTTGTCTTGAAGGCACTCCACAGAATTTGTGTGAATTAACTTTCATTAATTTAGCTTTACGATACACTACATGAATTTAACTGTAGGCATCTGCAACCGTTATTACAATTCAAAGTAGTTTTCAGCGCCAACCACAATTGCTGCCGCAAGTGTCAGATGGAGATAGCGGCCAGATACTTTTTTAATACTTTTATCTGAAATGGCGACCATACAAAGGTAGGTATTTTAACCCAAGGATAAATGGAGATGAGTGTAGGATGAGTGGCGTGATTTTGTAGTCTTGTTACTTACCAATGTCGACATTCTTAAACACGGCTGTTAATTAATAGCTAATACAGCCAATGGCAACTAAGGGACTTACAACAGCTTATAGTGGAAACCGAACCACATTTTGGACTTATATTAGGAATTGGTTTAATTATCAGGATAGTACTGCTGTTTAATTATTAGGATAGTCGTAGTACTCCCTAGTGTGGACGTTAATCCACTCTAGGGAGTATTGCATATACAAATCATGCCTATTAATATCAAACAATTTGTGACCTCCAAGTAGCAAATATTTCACTCTTATTTTGAAGAGGCTTTTAAAACTGAATCTATACACAACATAAAAAAATCCTTATCAAATATTGAACTGTTATGGTGTATTAAGTGAAAACATATATAACATATATAAAATATAAATTTAAGGGATTTTGGAATGAAACGCAGCTGTCTATCATATCATTTGAGGGGATTCTTTTGCAAGTAAAATTTGTGTCTGAAAGAACAATCAATCACAGATCAGTGATGAACAACAAAGAGTAAAAATAGACAATAGTTCTTTGTAACAAACACAACCTAGTGTCTGCTATTTGCATACACTACTTAGAAAGGGGAGTGTTGCAGAGATAATAAAACATTGTTGATACATCCTCCATGGCCACAACACACTAAAGTTTGATTAGTCAACAAGTGTATTTTAAATAATGGTGCTGGTTTGTGGAATTGATTAGCCAGGAATTTTTAGAATTAATATGTGTGAAAAAGATTGTTGTACTGAGAATAAAATTGTTAGTCAAAAATAAAGCATTCTATTTGATGGATACCAACTAGGAAAACAGGCACTAGGGGAGCGAGCTGGCGTAGTGGTTAGAGCACGGGACTTTAGTCCGTGGGGTCCCGGGTTCGATCCCTGCCAAGACACCAATGGATTTTATCTAAGTGATAATGCCGCAACCCCTAGGTCTAGCCTGAAGTAATGTGAAAAACAATCCCAGGCTCGTGCCTAGCGTCCTAGGACAAAAAAAGTACCACATTGCCTATGAATGCCTAATCAAGTGGCCACAGCTATAGCTATTGACATGGCATTAGCAATTAGATGCCTTGAAAAACATTCTGAGTTTGTAGAGGGTGAAGAATCTTAAACTAAGCAGATGTAGGGCTTAGGCTAATTGTTTTTCGGCAAAAAAGTCCCTAATTCCAAACTTTCAGGAAAGTCCTACCAGTGGATTTAGAAATAAGCTTTTGAAAATGTTGTAGTTTTTATACATGGTCACGAACAGACATAGCATGTATTAGAGAATAGGATACAAATATTAGTAGATTATGATAATTTATCATTAAACAGTATATGTTATCTGACTAGTAACTTACTTGGCTATGCTGATGAAGCCGCAAGAGGCCGTAGCATGTAGAGGCGTCCACCCCTCGTTGTCTCCTTTGTTGACATCTGCTCCATGCTTCACCAGGAACTCAACCATGTCTAGGTTGTCGTCAATACAAGCCTGCAACATAAAATGTGTTTGTCAATACAAGCCTTCAACATACACCATGTTTGTCAATACAAGCCTACAGCATAAAACATGATTCTCAAAATAAGCCTACAACATACAACATGATTCAATACAATTCTGTGACATACAACATGTTTGTCAATATGAGCCTGTAAAAACATACAGTAGAACTCCAATTATCCGAACTCCAATTAACCGAATCTCCAATTATCCGAATCGCTTATTTCAACAATTTTAAAAACGTAAAGCTACAGTAATAAGTTTTGCAAAATATCAAAGAATTGTTATTAAACACATTTAGCCAATTTTGGACTTTGATGGAACACTATTGACTTAATAACATGTATAGAACACTTGTACCATGAGCATTGTAAACTGTAAAAATGTTCTGATTTAAATTATTATTAATTAAAAGTTCACTTAGTACCGAAAATGAGTATTTTTCTTTAAAATTCCCGGAATTTTGGTAAAACTCCGATTATCCAAATTTTTGATTATCCGAATGGGGTCTGGTCCCTATTGATTCGGATAATCGGAGTTCTACTGTACTTCTATTCAAGCCTACAACATTACTATAATCATGATTTTTTGTTGATGAAATAATGTACACATACGATATGTTTGCCAATACAAGCTAAAACATAAATGTTTATTGATGCCAACCTGCAAACAAACAACAGGTTTGTCGAGACCCCCCCCCCCCCCCCCCATCGATGAGTTTGTCAATATATGTCTGGAGCATACAGGTTTGTCAAAACAAGCTACTGTACAAACAAATACTTTTGTCAATACAAAGCCTACAACATATTTACAAGCCTGTAAATCTACAACAAGTATCTTAATGCAGCAGCATTTTAACTTTTTTTTAATTTCAATAAAAATAATGAAAACAATATATGAGTCATTCTTTTGATAAATTTATTAAAAAATGCAGTGAAGCCAAAAAATAAGTCAGATAAGTCAAACATTATTGTGTTTCAAAGTAAGGGAACTCATAATCGGACGAAATAATAATAAAGAAATGGCATGTGATAACTTATTTTATTCTTCATTTCAAGCTGTTATCTTGATTGTTAAGCTATTATGATAAAAATTTAATGAATGCTAACCCTACAAGACAATAAATGAATGATTTCACAGAAAATACCAACAGGTTTAAGATAGATTATATACGATACTCTGACTACCCAGAAACAACCGAATGATTCTTGGAGAAATTAACACTTAACTTAAAAAAAAACAGTACTGTCCAAAATTTCACAGATTTTAGCGAATTTCCCTATAGGGAAGTAGCTATTACCGTAGGAGGCAATAGTCGGTCCTAGGCCCGGGACCGATTTAATTTTTCATTTTGATGTTCCCAGAGGCCAAAAACACAATTCGTTCAGATTTATATATATGTGTATATATAGAGTTAGGATGTGCATGTGAATGCGATAATGGGTAATTTTTGTCCGATTTTGATGAAATTTGGTTCAAATGTGTAGGCCTAAGGCGGGATAAAATTGAATGAGTTCGCAAACCAGTATGATCGGACTATGGGAACAGGGTTTTACAGGAGGTTTTATGGGGCAAAAATTGGTTTTTCTCATTTTGACCCTCAAAACACAAAACTTTCCAATTTCTCTTTAGACCTTTTTAAAGAGCTTAAAGACAAATAATTTAATATATAAAAGTGTTTTTGTACCATTATTGGCGATGGAGAAAATTCATAAAAATTTTAAATTAAAAATTCCCATGTTATTCTTACGGAGAATATTGTAAAATGTTTTAGTTTGCTTGTTTATTTTGATCAAACTTGGCAAATTTATTTATTTTATACTAAGCTATTAATATTTTACTAAAAACCACACTTTATTAGTTTCCTTGTAGCAGCAAACCTAGGTACTCGTTAAACCTTATGTTATTTAAATAGATTTAATTGAAAATCAATTCAGACAAATGGAAATTCGCTTAGTCGGCAGGTTTGCTGTGGCGGGGGTATTGTCATTTACCTTGCATTTATATACCACACTTGTGTGACATAAAGCGCTGACAAAACATTATCCAAGATAAACCTCTACTGATTTGTAACTTACTAAATACCTAGCATAAGCTGATTGGCCAAAAACAAAGATACAGTAGAACTCCGATTATCCGAATCAATAGGGACCAGACCCCATTCGGATAATCAAAAATTCGGATAATCGGAGTTTTACCAAAATTCCGGGAATTTTAAAGAAAAATACTCATTTTCGGTACTAAGTGAACTTTTAATTAATAATAATTTAAATCAGAACATTTTTACAGTTTACAATGCTCATGGTACAAGTGTTCTATACATGTTATTAAGTCAATAGTGTTCCATCAAAGTCCAAAATTGGCTAAATGTGTTTAATAACAATTCTTTGATATTTTGCAAAACTTATTACTGTAGCTTTACGTTTTTAAAATTGTTGAAATAAGCGATTTGGATAATTGGAGATTCGGTTAATTGGAGTTCGGATAATTGGAGTTCTACTGTATTATAAAACTTACTATCAAAATTATTTCCAAGGTTATTACCTATACCTTTGACTATTAATACAACACACAAATAGCCAATCAAGGCTAGACAAGGGCTGCTGGTGGTGTTGGTTAGTATTCAGCGTAAATATCAGACTTGGCCTACAGCTAGAGTTGGCAGATATCGTTATGCCCCTCTGTGCTGTATTTACTTGGATTGTTTGGCTGCCAATGCATTCAGCCACACACCATCAAACAGTGCAATGCCACTGTGTCATTGTTCACTGTTCCCGGCTAAACATCACAACAGGGTTACACCAAACTGTGATGTGGGATTCAGACTTGTCTAAACAACTCTATAAATGTTCAATATAACAAGAAAATCATGATATGGTCAAATAAAGCTTTGGGCTAATTGATGTGTTTGATTATTTTATTGGTTTGTGACAGTGCTTCGAAATATACTTTTTTTAATTACTTAGATTTTTTCATTAATAGGAAGTGTTGCTTTTGAAATATTTTATCCCAAATAATCAGAACGATTACAAATAATTAATAGCATATTTAATACAGTAAACAATACAGTAGTAGTTTCACTGTACACTGCAAACGCAAACTACTTGGTTTCTGCAGACAAAAAATGTGGTTTTGATTGCAAAGGAGTTTTACAGTAATTTCATTTGGACCTGTGTATGTTGGGAGGAAACCTTTCATGAAGAACAAATAAACATTGAAATTCAAAGCAGTTTATCAATCGTTTATCAGCATTATGCAAGAGTAATATATTCGAATTTTTAGACGAAGCAAGGTGTTAAAAAGGCGTTAAACAAAACCTATCTTAAAAATAGGGAAATTAGAGTTAACTTTGATAGAAGTTTCAAATTATCCTCCCCCACTAACAATCTGGTTGTGTCACGTGCACATAAGATTAGATGAAGATTCCACAATAGGCCTATTATTTTTAAGTAATGGCAAAGATACAGCTAAAAAAATCCCAAAATATTTAAAGTCATGCTATGTTTTATTGACGATTTGAATTTCCAAAAATAAATTTTTTCAACATAACAATAATAATTCAAATTGCAAAAAGACTTAACATTCCAAACATTGAACCCCAGTTTTGCACTTTAGTAACCCAGCTGCCCGCTAACAACCAAACCACAACGTCACGTCGCTATCAGTTACTATCACGGACCGTACTCTAGTCCAGCGATAGTGTCGTTGTCACACGGTAAGTTAGCTTGTATTATACATATCTTCCGACAAACTCAAAAAATTAAAATTGCAACAAGAACGAAACATTCCAAACATCATCCCCAGTTTCGCACTCTAGAAACCTGTCAGCCAATAGCCAAACCCTCGTCGCTATCAGTTACGATCACAGACCGTACTCAAGTCCAGCGATAGTGTCGGTGTCGCAGATATATTACGGTTGTCACTAGAACAGACAACAGACGGTCCGCGGTCCCGTGTTCCGGTGAGTCACAGTCAAGTTGTCCGCTGGTTCCCGGAACGTCTGGACCAGGACCAGTTCCTTATACCGTTAACGCACAACTGTCTGTCTGCTAGCGATACAGTACCTCATCCCATGCGATATACGAGTGATTAACTGTGGCGATGATAGGGTAAACATTCCGCTGCCCACTTACACACTCGCAATGCGTTGCGTTTCCAAAATCTGATTAGTTGAGTGGTGAAGCTTGAGAAACTGCATAATCTTTTATTTACGAGTAAAACAATTCCCCTTGGCCAGAACAGATCTCACCATGTGGTCCAAAAACAATATTATCATGTAGACTACTATAATTTTATTATATTACGAATCATTCAATATCATTTTGTGTGTTTATTTATTTATCTTTTTTAAGAGCTTACCAATTATGTTCTTGTATTCTACATGAGATAAAAGCAACTCCTTTAAGAATATAATGGGGAGTGGAGTCTAGATATTAACAAAAATCTAGAACTACGAGATAGTAAAATTGTTTTTTTTTTTTTTTTTGTAAAAACACTTCCATTCGTAAATATATAGGCCTACACGAATGTCTATGTCTTTCGGTTATCTATATATGTCTGGTTAAGTACAATAAATTATTTTAATTGAATTTGTTATATATTCTGGACTTTGGAAGATATAACAGATCAAATTAATGCAATTGAAGGACTATTTCTTCGTATAAGAGACACGAACATACTTAGTTGAGTCATTTAGTTCGTCAGATTTTCAAACATTTGATTTCAAACAATTGTACTACAAACATGTTCCCAATTTACCAATAACGTTTGTTATATTTAAAACATGATGATTTTACTATTATTTACTTTACTTTTATTTCAAGTGAACGGAGGGACATACTAATTTTAAAAGCATGTTAGCGAATTTCCCTATAGGGAATTACCGTAAGTGGCACGGTAAGACCTAGGCCCGGGGCCGATTTACATATTGGTGTCCCCAGAGGCCAAAAACACCATTCGTTCAGATTTTTATGTATGTATATATATAGAGT